GACAATGCAATACAGAGGCTGCTTTGGATGGGTGCCCCTCTCGTGACCGCCCAGCATCACACGCCAAAGGAATGACTGCAGAGATCAAACACTGGGCACAAACCAACGTGTGTCTCTCTGAAGACGATAGTCAGGGCTGAAAAGCCTCAGTCTTGTGCTGTGCTATGTGGGGAGTGGATTCAGACTGTGAGCTCAGGCCTTCCTTGGCAAGCACTTTACTATGCTTCTGCCTGGCCACAGGAGCCCCAGAACAAGAAGCCAGCTCACGTTCTGCACCTAAGGCTAGGCAGTTTACCGTGACTCTAGTGTGTGCTAACGTTGGCTTTCCCATGACCTCAGTGCACTCTGTGTGGACCAGAATGTTGACAAGCTGACGGGTCACTTGTCTGGCTGGGTGCTTTGTGAGATCACTGGCTGGGTGTGTTGTGATGTCACCCCCAAGCAACCTGAGCCCCTTTGTGATGTCCTGCAGATGGATTATCAAGGGGCCCTGTGGGCCACACTGCAGTCTCATGTTTACATGAACAGAGGACAAGCCATCACTTAGTATGGCTTGTGATCCAAGAAGCTGGGGGCACGGCTTCGAAGCTGCGCCTTTTCCTCCAGAAACAAGGGCTCCTCGGACAGACACAGAGAACCACCGTCACCCAGCAGATCCTTCCTGTGCCCAGTACTGCCCGGTGTCAGGTGGGAACCACAACTTGAGGTTGCAGCTGGAAGAAACTGCTTTCCAGGCTTTGAACGAAGAGTCTTGGCTCAGAAGGCTGCGCCCTGTCCATGACATCCTGCCAGAGGCAGAAGATAGTCTCCTCTCTCTTCCCTTTCCAAAAAAGCTGTGGAGAATTGTCAACAGCCACCAGTTTGCATCAATTTGGTGGGATGATGGTGGGACTGGTATAGTGATCAATGAAAAACTGTTTCAAAAGGAGGTCCTGGAAAGGAACAGCCCCAACAAAGTGTTTGAAACAAAGTGTATGAAGAGCTTCATCCGCCAGCTAAACCTCTACGGCTTCAGCAAAATGCGTCTGGACGGTCACATGTCGGTCTGCCTCATCCAGGAAAGACCAGTCTATGTCAGGAGCAAGGTAACAGATGACAAGTCTTCTAAGGGGCTAAGTCGGTGGGCTCTGGGGTTGGGTCGGGTGGAAGTGCCAGGACTGCTTCTTGGGATTTGGGTGACATTGAGCAGGTACAGAACTGTTCCTGTGCCTGTTCCTTGTCTGTGTGGTGGTGACAGTAACTTAAGTGTTAACAGTGCCAGTCCATCTGGGGTGTGTAAAAGATTACAGCTTTTCAGTCACTCCTACCTGGGGACAAATGTCACCTGGTGGTTTTGTCCCCGTGACGGCATAGTGCTTTAAGCCGTAATGTAGGCAGGGGTAAGGAACCTTCCTGTTGAAATATTGGTGTGCCCCTACTAGTGTTTGGAGAAACGCTAAGCCTAAAGCAGGCAAGGAAGCCTTTCGAAGGTGGTGTGAACATGCATGCTTGTCTAGTCACAGGCCCCTGGTGTGGAAGAGCCCATGACCAGAGACTGCCAGCCAGGGATTCACTCTGCAGCTGGCTGACGCTGCATGCTGAAGCCACCAAATCTGCTTCACTCCCCATCTGCAGCTTCAATGTCCCTTTTCACTGGCCTTGTACACTTCCTAATTTACCATGTTTAGGCATTTTCCAAGGGTGCAGTGCTCGCCATACATGGGCGAGTCTTGAGGATGTAAAAACTAGTCCCCAGCTTCCTTTTGGGACTGTGACCTTTTCCTAAAGGGCCTCCCAGGACCAGTAGAGCTGTGTTGCACAGGGGCAAAGACTGTTGATGGTTGCAGTCAACTCTCATGACCCAGAGTTTCCTTTTCTTTTTCAACTTTGAATCTCAGTTGCGGTTCTACTGCAGCCCCTACTTCAAAAGACACTCCCCTCACCTCCTTGTGAGGATGAAGAGAAGGGCGGGCATTAAATCTGCATTAAGGCAGAAGAGGAGCCAGGCAGAAGCTCTGGGATCCCCTCCAGCACTTACAGGCACCGAGCAACAAGATCAGGCATCTACAAATGAGGATAACGAAGAGATGCCAAAGAGCCAAGAAGTTGACAGTCCTGCCACCCAAGTCAGGAGTGACTCTGCTCCACCAGGAATTCCTGTGACAGTTCCGGAGCCCACCGTGGTGAGTGACGACGCTCCAATAACCCAGCCAGCCGTCAGGCAGCCCGAGAGCAGCCAGGCCCACGTTACTCAGTTGGGGGATGTCGCTGCACCTGCAGAGCTTCCCTGCGTCTTCTTCACTGTACCTTCCACCCAGATTGATTCCTACTGGCATGTGGTGGGTGTCCCTGCGACGCCCCCCAGGATTCTCAACGTGCACACCACACAGTTTCCTTTGCCTGGACTGCTGCCTTTCTCTCATCACTTGGTGGCTCTGCCTGTCATGGCTGCTGGGCCTGCTGCCTCCGTCTCTGCGTTGCCTCACCCTCCAACACCAGTCCATTTCTGTCCCAACTGCCATTGTGTGTTAGAATTCATGCCAGGCACTGGTGGGATCCAGGGGTACCCAGACCATGCAGACTAGCACGGGTAAGGAAAGAATTTGGTGACAACATGTCCTGGTCAATAAACAGGATCAGAAAATGAGTCATTTTTTGTCTGCACGAAAGAGTTGCTCATCTCTGTCATTTCTCTTCTTCTGTAGTCAGGGGCACCCTAACGTGTCTGTTGCTTGCCTGGTAAAGACTTGAGAATAACCCCACTCCCTGGCATGATGTAGGTGCCCAGCAGATACTCAGGAAGGATGTAGGTTTAACTGAGCCTCTCGCCCATCCTGCCTCCACTCACTAAAAGTTCTTTGCAGTGCTTGGAAAGTACACACACCCAGCAGCAGTGGCCAGATGTGCACAATGACAAGTGCCCCTGGACATCCAGACACAATTCCCTGCGGGGCTGCAACACATCTTCTTGCCAGTAGTCCCTCCTCCTCCCTAGAAGAGGGAGGGCTTCTTCCAGTATGTTCTAGTTACCAGCTTGTGTTTTCTGCCTCTTCGCTCCTTAATAGAGCAGCAAATCACACATCACTTCAGTGGCATGCTTGGGTAAGGCAGAAAGGAATAGCCACTGGGATTGCTGATGCCTAAGCCTGTAAGAGCACAGACTCCTTGTTTTGACCTTTTCCATGGGTACTTCTCTGAAATGGGTTACACGTCTTCTTGCTGTCATAACTAGGAGAGATGCTGCACCACTTGCTCTCTCCTTGATGATCTGCGACCCGGTGTTTTCTGGGCAATGCTGGCTCAGGGACCCCCCTGACCCCTGTCATACACACACAGAGTGGCCAGTGAGACCCGTCAGCACATCGGGTGGATGATCAGCCTGAGGCTCTAGGCCTTTCTGTCAGCTGCTGCCAAACCACCCTTGGTGGCTGGCCGGTTTTACGCAAGATTGTGACAGATCCTGAGGAGTTGGCATGACGTGGTACACAGACTTGGCTGACTGGCAGCGATGCCTTCTTCTGAAAATGTGGTGTGTCTCAGCTGAGTGAGGCCATCGTAAGCCTGCCTGCTAGATGAGGGCAGAGACAGCAGAATCATTGCACCAGGGAGCCCTGAAGAGCATGGGAGAAGAGAGGGAACAGGAACAGCTGACACAAGGCTACAGAGGGGAGACAGAGCAGGAATGGGAAGAGCCGGGCTGGAACTCCTGGGCTTTCAGAGGGATAGGGTGGTACCAGTGGGCTCACTCACAATTGCTGCCAAGGAGGGGGTGGGAGGAGGTGGGCGAGCTGAGCAGAGGTACAGGGAAGGCTACATCCACCAGCCCAGCAGCCCTTCTGAGTTCCTGGTGAGGGGTGCTCACATCACTCTTCTGTTGGTCACAATCCAACCGCTAGTGGAGGTCAAGTGGATCTTCTGAGAACCCAACAACAGCCGCAGAGTGAAAGAAACAAAAACTGACAGACTTGAAGCAATAGTTCTACAATCGTAGTTGCAGACTCCAATACCTCATGTTAGGAGCTGACTTCCGTCCCCTCCCCCCAGTTCCTATGATAAAGTCGTAAACCCCAGTGTGACTCTATTTGCAGTTAGAGCTGTTAGGGAGGTAATTAAGGTGAAATGGGATCCTAAGGGTGGGACTCTATTCCCATCGAACTAGTGTTCTCATGACAAGAGGAAGAGACACCAGATTTCGAGATCTCTCTCTCTCTCTTTGTCCCTCTCCCTGTCTCTCCACTGCCCCCACCACACACACACACACACATTAGAGAAGAGGCCATGTGAAGACACAGTGAGAAGGTGACCCTTGGCAAATCATTGAGAGGCCTCACAAGAAACCCAATTTTCTGGCACGTTCGTTTGGTGTTTCTGGGCTCCAGAACTGTGAAAATATAAATTTCTGTGGTTTACATCACCCAGTTTGTTGAAACATGTTATGGCAGGCCTAAAAGACTAGTTCAACCTTTTGTCAATAATGGGTAGAACAACTAGACTGGAGATCAACATGGAAAAGGAAGGCTAGAACAACACTGTAAAATAACTAGATCTCACAGACATCCATGGAAAACTCCAACCAACAACAGCAGAACAAATTTCCTCTGAAGTGCACTACATTAGTCCATTTGTGATGCATATAAAAGAAAACGTAAAACTGACTGATTTACAAAGAAATTTTGTTTATTTCTTCTAATTTCGGAGGCTGGGAAGACCAAACTCCAGGGAACATATCTGGTGAGGGCCTTTATCTTGTTGGTGACTCTCTACAGGATCGTGTGGCAACCAGGGTGTCACATGGAGAGAATGGGCTGAGCAAGAGAGAGCTAATCTTCTTACTCTCCGTATAAATCATCATAATCTCACCCATGACAACTCAGTTAACCAACAGTGCATTAATCCCTTGCCCAGGGTACACTCCCCACCATTTATTCACCTCTTAAAGGCCCACATTTCAGTTACCATAATAGGATTTCTCACCCCCTTAACACTGTTACAGTGGAGATTAAGGATCCAGTACATGAACTTTTGAGGACACATTTAACCCACAGCATGCACCTAGAACTTCCTCTGGGATTTGCTTCTTTCTCCATAGGTTACACCATAAAATTTTCTCCACATGTTACACCATAAAATACACCTCCGTAAACTTGAAAGGGTTCAACTTGTACAAAGTATGTTCTCTGACCAAAATGGAATGAATTTAGAAATCAATAACAAAAGGAAATTCGGAGGATTTGCAAAACTATAGAAATTAAACAACACAACATCTGTTTTTATGCTGGTACCCTGCAGTTTGTGTTACTACAGCTTTGTACTATAATTTGAAGTCAGGTAATGTTATACCTCCAGCTTTATGTATTTGTTTTTATGATCGGAATTGCTTTGGCTATTTGTGGTCTTTTGTTGTTCCATATGAATGTTAGGATTATTTTTTTCTGTTTCTGTAAAAAAATGTCATTAGTGTTTTCATGGGATTACATTGAATCTATAGATTGCTTTGATTAGTACAGACATTTTCACAATGTAAATTTTTCCAATCTAGGGGTATAGAATGCCTTTCCATCTTTTCTGTCGTCTTTAATTTCTCTCAGCAGTGATTTATAGTTCTCATTGTAGAGATCATTTACCTCCTTGTTTAAATTGATTCCTAGTTATTTTCTTTTTTTGGTGACTATTTTAAATGGGCTTCCCTTCTTGATTTCTTTTTCTTCTAATTCCTTATTGGAGTATAACAATGCTACTGATTTTTGCATGTTGATTTCATATCTGGCAACTTTACTGAAATCATTTATTAGCTCCCTACAATGAATACACCAGAAGGAACAAAACCCACTTGTAAAACAAAAATGCAAACAAGAAAAAGAAAGAAATGGTATATTACCAACTCAAAAAACCAGCAAACACTGAAGAGAAAAGATAAACAGTGAAGTAAGGAACAAAAGATATTTAAAACTTCCAAATGGAAATAGATAAGATGCCAGGACTAACACGGTATCTTTCTGTAACAACCCTAAATGTAAATGGATTAAATTCCCCACTAAAAAGATACAGACGAGGACATTGGATTAAAAAGGGAAAACCAGGGGCCGGCCATTGGCTCACTCGGGAGAGTGTGGTGCTGATAACACCAAGGCCCCGGGTTTGGATCCCATATAGGGAAGGCCGGTTTGCTCACTGGGTGAGTGTGGTGCTGACAACACCAAGTCAAGGGTTAAGATCCCCTTAGCAGTCATCTTTAGAAAAAAAAAAAAAAAAGGGAAAACCAACTGTATGCTGTCATCAGGAGACTCACCTCAACTGTAAAGGCACAGAAGACAAACAGTGAAGGAATGGAAAAAGATAAACCACACAAATGGAAACCAAAAAAGAGCAGGAGTAGGTATTCCTATCTTGGATGAAATACGCCTTAAAACACAGAACATAAAAAGAAACAAAAAAAAGTTGCTATATAATAATAAAGGGATTTATGCAGTAGGAAGATATAATAATCATAAATATATACACGAGCAACACTGGAGCACCAAGATATATATACCAAACACTATTAGACCTAAAGAAAGAGATAGACCCCAAGATGATGATGGTTTTTGAGAAAGCTGTGAGGCACACAAGCATGTCTCTGATGGTACATCAAACATATGGGCACTTTGTTTTCCTCCAGCTGGAGATGCTAAGACACAACTTATATAATTTCACCTGCTGCACGGAGATCTTTTGTTAAGCCACGAGCTCCAGGCTTGTGCCTCGTCCTTTGGAGAGGCTGTCCTCCAGGGCTAGCTGTACTCAGGTCCTGGGTTGGTCTAAGCTCATGGAGGACAAGGAAGGCTGTGCCAGGCTGAAGCCTAATATCACCTTTCAAAAAAGCCTTCACTTAAGACTTGTGGTTTCGTATCTGGCATCTAAGGAGCTTAGAAGTCATCACTCTCCCCCTCACAGCAAGAAAAAAAGCTGAACAAACTGCACATCAGTATGTCTTATATTTGTTAGAGAACTGAGGTCACAAGACAAACAGTTGCCCCCAAAATTGGAGTGACAGACGGGTGGATAGAGACAATCACAGCTTACCAGAATAGAGGGCCAGATGCAGAAAGCCCATTTGGAGACAGGGGTGGGGCAGAAAACTTAAAATGTCATTAATAAATTGCTGGAAAGTCAGTGAAAACAAGCTTGAGAGTTAAAAACTCCAAGGTGCCCAAGTTTTAGGTTTTTTTTTTTTACTTTATTGAGGTATAATTTACATACCATAAAATTCACCCACTTAAAATGTACAATTCATTGATTTTTAGTAAATTCACCAACTCATCCAACCATCATCACAGTCCCAGTTTTAGAGCATTTCCATCAAACAATAAGATCCTGTATACCCAATTATACTTAATCCATGTTCCCAGCACATGCACATGCAAGCAGTAATCTACTTTCTATCTCTAATGATTTTCCTTTTCAGAAGATTCCATATGAAATGAATCATATCACATGGCTTTTTTGTTTGATCCGTGCAGTACCATGTTCTCTGTCCCAATGGATTTGCCGATTCTGGACATTTCATATAAATGGAATCACAGAATATGTGATCTTTCACGTCTGGAGTCTTTCCTCATAATGTTTTCAAGGTTCATCCATGTTGTAGCATCTATCAGTATTTCATTGTTTTTATTGCTGGATAATATTC